CAGGCATCGCTGCCTGTTTTTAAAAAACGGCCATTTCCCGCTCGCGCGCGCCGAGCGGTGCGCGCGGGGGGGCGTGTCTGAGCGGACGTCTAAAGACGCCCGCTCAGATCTAGAGAGCTCGGGCCGGCCGTTTTTTTACTACGGCCGGCCCGGAGGTGGTTAAGAAAAAGTATCGGTAATTGGTATCTGCGAGTACATGATTAAAAGTATTGGTACTACTCGTACTCGGTCTTAAAAAAGTGGTATCGGTGCATCCCTAGTTACAGGTGTATAAAACCACGCACCTCGGAATGCAGACGCTTCTACAAACATCTGTGAAAGAATGGGTCGCTCTCAGGAGCGACCCATTCCGTGACATTTCCTTGCTACTAAATATTCCGCGGTCACCTGTTACAGGTATTATAACAAAGTGGAAGCAACTGGGAACAACAGCAACTCAGCCACGAAGTGGTAGGCCACGTAAAATGACAGAGTGGGGCCAGCGCATGCTGAAGCACACATATGTCTATATGTCAGATCAATAACTAGTCTCCCTGGTTATCTATATGTCAGATCAATAACTAGTCTCCCTGGTTATCGATATGTTAGATCAATAACTAGTCCCCCTGGTTATCTATGTGTCAGATCAATAACTAGTCTCCCTAGTTATCTATATGTGAGATCAAGAACTAGCCGTCCTGGTTATCTATATGTGAGATCAATAACTAGTCTCCCTGGTTATCTATATGTGAGATCAATAACTAGTCGTCTTGGTAGTTTGGATTGGTATTCGTGTCTCTTGGTATTGCGAACGGTGAGGCTCATGGAGCGGCGCCTGCAGTGCGCTAATCGGACGGAAGGTGGCGCTGTGGTCGCGCTGTGAGTTCTCCTCTCTCCTCCTCTTCCTGCCCGGGGCCGGTAGTCAGTCTGTTCTGTAGTACCCACGTGTGTGTACGGCGTGCAGTGTGTGTGGGGGGTCAGGATGAGTTTCCTTGTGAGCGATGCATCGAGCGACGACAGCCAGGGCAGCCCGGTGGAGAGCTATATGTTCGGTGAGATGGCAGGGAGCTCCGGGCAATGCACAGTGGCGCCAGCCGGCAGTTTGGTGTAGAACTACAAGGCTCAGGTTGCTTGAAAACAGGGGGAAGCGGGTCAGTCGGCTATGGAACTGCACGGCTCAGCAAGCCCTGCCCCTAGTCACGTGGGGTCAGCTATGGGGAAGCTACCAGTCGGCCATAACATTACCAGGCTCAGCATGTTGAGTTGATAGTCACATGTTGGACTACAAGGCTCAGGATGTCCTGCCAGTAGTCACGTGGGGCCAGCTGCCAGTCTGTTATAAACACTACAAGCCTCAGTATGTTCATTTGAGTCACATGGGGTGGGCTATGGATAATCTGCTGTAAAACTACAAGGCTCAGCAAGCCCTTTGCATCAGTTAAAGTCTAGTATGGGTAGAGATACCAGTCTGATTTAGGACAACAAAGCTCAGCATGGTCTGCTGATAGCCACATGGAGCAGTTATGGGGGTTGGACTGGCAGTCTGTTATAGGACCACAATGATCAGCATGCATTTTTCATATTTTGTTTCCTTTTATATCAGGCTGTGAGCTGTCATCGAAGACCACCTATTATACCTTCCAGGTAGACGAGGAGGACGACTGCGAACACAACCTGTCCTTGTGCTCTGTAAGTCCCTGATCTCTTATGGGGGTTTCTGATTCTTATGTCCATTGCAGCCAATTTCCTCCATAACATTTATCATCTGATTGTCCAATATGATCTGTGATGAGGTTTCCACAAATGTGACGCCGTATTCAGGAATCCCCGACACCTCACTACTGGTCGCAGTGACTGGCTGACACAGACACTAATCATCACCAACCCATAGAAACCCTTACTAATCCTCACCAACCCTTACTAATCCTCACCAACCCTTACTAATCCTCACCAACCCTTACTAATCCTCACCAACCCTTACTAATCCTCACCAACCCTTACTAATCCTCACCAACCCTTACTAATCCTCACCAACCCTTACTAATCCTCACCAACCCTTACTAATCCTCACCAACCCTTACTAATCCTCACCAACCCTTACTAATCCTCACCAACCCTTACTAATCCTCACCAACCCTTACTAATCCTCACCAACCCTTACTAATCCTCACCAACCCTTACTAATCCTCACCAACCCTTACTAATCCTCACCAACCCTTACTAATCCTCACCAACCCTTACTAATCCTCACCAACCCTTACTAATCCTCACCAACCCTTACTAATCCTCACCAACCCTTACTAATCCTCACCAACCCTTACTAATCCTCACCAACCCTTACTAATCCTCACCAACCCTTACTAATCCTCACCAACCCTTACTAATCCTCACCAACCCTTACTAATCCTCACCAACCCTTACTAATCCTCACCAACCCTTACTAATCCTCACCAACCCTTACTAATCCTCACCAACCCTTACTAATCCTCACCAACCCTTACTAATCCTCACCAACCCTTACTAATCCTCACCAACCCTTACTAATCCTCACCAACCCTTACTAATCCTCACCAACCCTTACTAATCCTCACCAACCCTTACTAATCCTCACCAACCCTTACTAATCCTCACCAACCCTTACTAATCCTCACCAACCCTTACTAATCCTCACCAACCCTTACTAATCCTCACCAACCCTTACTAATCCTCACCAACCCTTACTAATCCTCACCAACCCTTACTAATCCTCACCAACCCTTACTAATCCTCACCAACCCTTACTAATCCTCACCAACCCTTACTAATCCATACCAACCCTTACTAATCCATACCAACCCTCACTAATCCATACCAACCCTCACTAATCCATACCAACCCTCACTAATCCATACCAACCCTCACTAATCCATACCAACCCTCCCTAATCCATACCAACCCTCCCTAATCCATACCAACCCTCCCTAATCCATACCAACCCTCCCTAATCCATACCAACCCTCCCTAATCCATACCAACCCTCCCTAATCCATACCAACCCTCCCTAATCCATACCAACCCTCCCATACACTTACCAACTTTTACAAACCCTTACTAATCTTTAGCAAACCATATAAACACTTCCCAACCTATACAAAGCCTTACCAACTAAAATAAACCCTTACTAATCCTTACCAACTAAAAGAAACCCTTATTAATCCTCACCAACCCATACAATCCCTTACTAATGCTCACCATCCCTTACTAATCCTCACCAACCAATACAAACCCTTACTGATCCTCACCAACCCTTACTGATCCTCACCAACCCTTACTGATCCTCACCAACCCTTACTGATCCTCACCAACCCTTACTGATCCTCACCAACCCTTACAATCCCTTACTAATCCTCACCAACCCATACAATTCCTTACTAATCCTCACCAACCCTTACTGATCCTCACCAACCCGTACTAACCCTTACTAATCCTCCCCAACCCGTACTAACCCTTACTAATCCTCCCCAACCCATACAATTCCTTACTAATCCTCCCCAACCCATACAATTCCTTACTAATCCTCACCAACCCATACAATTCCTTACTAATCCTCACCAACCCATACAATTCCTTACTAATCCTCACCAACCCATACAATTCCTTACTAATCCTCACCAACCCATACAATTCCTTACTAATCCTCACCAACCCATACAATTCCTTACTAATCCTCACCAACCCATACAATTCCTTACTAATCCTCACCAACCCATACAAACCTTTACTAATCCTCACCAACCCATACAAACCTTTACTAATCCTCACCAACCCATAGAAACCCTTACTAATCCTCACCAACCCATAGAAACCCTTACTAATCCTCACCAACCCATAGAAACCCTCACCAACCCATACAGACCCTTACTAATCCATACAAACCCTTACTAATCCTTACCAATCCTTAGCATATCATACAAATCCTTACCAATGCTTACCCTCCCATACACTTACCAATCCTTACCAACCTTTAAAAACCCTTACTAATCTTTAGCAACCCATATAAACCCTTACCAACCTATACAAAGCCTTACCAACTAAAAGAAACCCTTAATATCCTTACCAAACTGTGCCAATCCTTACCAACCATTACTAATCCTTGCCAACCAATTTAAACCCTTACTAATCCTTAACTCATGCCAACTCTTACCAAACATTACCAATCATCGCCAACCCGTACAATCCCTTACGGACTTGTACCAATCCATACCATTTTTTGCCAATCCTTACCAGCTCATGGCAACCTTTAGCAATCGTACTGGAAGAAATACACGGAGCTTTCCATGACTGAAGGAAGAACACACATGACTCTTGTATGAGGACGATAGTTACTTATCTGAAGCTTTACATAACATTAGCTCAGGTGCACATTTTGTGTACGCGGGGTGATGGTGACTTTGTCTCTTTGTCCCTCTCAGATCAGCCTCGGTGAGGGAGTCAGAGATGAATACAACGTTGTGGAAGTGACGGCCCGCAATCACATCAATGAGGACATCTCCGTGCCCATCGCCACTCTGAAGCTCTCCTGTCAGACAATGGTAATGGTTATTTTTGATCGGGTTGGGTGGTGCTTGGTTCTTGGGTTCACTACCCCCAACTGGGAACTCTCCTGGTCTCCTTCCACTATCCAAAAGTTAAGCTGGCTGTCAAAACACCTGAACAATCTGATTGGATGCCGTCATTGTTCAGGTGTTAAGTGCCAGCAGGGGCTTGGCCCAGCGGGAGATTCCTCCATACACACAGAGTAGCGTAGATGGAGGAGTCTGTTGCACTTTTTACATCTGACCAGAGAAAATCTGCAGAAAAAGTCAGAAGTTCCAGGTGCCCTCAGGGTACCAGCAGCTGGATGACATAGATGCCATTTTGTGTGGAAAGGGGATGTCGCATGTACCCCATTATGGGGCGGATGGACAGGACATGGCTCTACCCCATCATAGCTTTGTTTCACACCCAGAGTAAGCTGAGAACTTACCTCAGGTTTTTTAGAAACTTACATTAGCGTACAAAATGGGGTAACATTGGTATGGGCCTTCAGAGCTACGTTAAAGCCTTACATTGGGCTCCGGACATCCTCCACCCCCCAGCTGCTGGCCCGTCAATATTTACCTGTTTTCCAGCAGTCTTTGTTTCAGTCTGATGATGTCACACGTCATCTCCATCTGGGAGTGAGCAGATCCTAAAAGCACCACGTACCAATGTAATTCTCCTCTCTGCAGCACTCTCCTGTAAGTCCGGGGTAGGGGCTTGGGCCCTTGATGCCATGGGCTTACATGAAGCAGGTGGAATGATGCTGTGGGTCATTCAACCCAAGGGGATTGCTGGATCGATGATCAACATCTGGGGGACTGGCGGGAGGTATAACGGGCAGAGCCTTTTCTTATTTACCCAGGAGCTTTGTGAGGATCCGTTTGTGCCCATCATAGCATTGGGCTTTAACCCCTGCATGACTGAGCTTGTTTTTAGTTTCTGTTCGTAAATGACTGACACACTTTTGACATTTTTGCTGTGTGATTCTTCCACGTCAGTAATATACTTTCTTACAAAGTGCACCCACACATATTATATATTGTTTTTTAGAGGACAGATAGGGCTACATATTTATATCACATATGTGTGTCTAACGCCTCACTTAGGACAAATAAAATATAAAAAAAGGGGGAAAAAACGTTAAAAAAAACACTTTTTTCCCAGTTTTGATTTGTAGTATTTTTTTTACAAAACCAGCACAGCTAAAAAAAATTGCAATAAATACATTTATTTATTTGTCCCTTATTTTATTTGATTTTTTACACTTTTTTTTTTTTTTACACTTTTCACAATTTTTTATTTTTTACACTTTTCACTTTTTTTAAGCTTAAAAATGTTATTTTATTTAATTATATCAAGCAGTCATTGTGAATTAATCTCACTGTTACTGCTTGATAAATTAATACATTTTTGGTTATCAGGCTGCTTCAAACTTCAGAACAGCCGATAATAAGTTAGTGACACTGATCCTGCAGCAGTTCAGGATTCAGCTGTCACTAAGGCCCCATTCACACCTGACCGTTTTGTAGCGCGTCCTACGCTCGACGAACGCGCTACAAAACGGTCAAAAAAATAAATAGCATTGTAGTCAATGGTCTCGTTCCCACCTGTCCGTATTTCCGCCCGTCCCGAACGCCCTACAAAACGGCCCATGCCTGAAAAGGTCACGGGACTACTTTGGGCCGTTTTGTAGGGCGTTTTCCATTTGGATACAGCCAAGTAGCCTTTGGAATCGCGCAACTTTTTTACCGCGAATCGCGGTAAAAAAAAAACCGTGTGACGGTCGCGCGACAGACGCGCATATTTCAATACGCCTAGGTGTGAATGGGGCCTAAAGGTTTTCTGATTGTTGCAACAACGATCAGCAAACAAACATTCTTCTTTCAGGAATAGACACATTATAGGAATAGACACATTATGTATCTATTCATGAAAGAGAAAAAAAAAAGCCAGTATAGCTTGCGAGAGATATCTCTCGATCTATACGAGCTGTCAGAATGCCGTGTGTCCGCTCTGCTTTGACTCAGACACCCGATATTAAGGTATCGGGTGTCTGAAAAAGGTTAACCCTTTCATTAATGAATGCCTCTGTAGTAAGGGCATCCATTAATGAATGTTAAAAGCTGATTCTCAGCGGGTAACAGCCCTCTAAAGCAGCAAATAGCTCGTCACGTACAGTGTACGTGACAAGTCATTTGGTCCCTTTGTGGCTGGACGCACAGTGTACGTATCCCGTCACGAAGGGGTTAATTGGCTTTTGACTATACTGGTCTTGGATTGTGGTTTGGAGACCTTAGATTGAAAGCTCCTATTAGACAATGGATATGAGAGTCCATATATACTGTAAATTGTTGAGTATTGTGCTGTTCTATATGGGAGAAGCTGGTCGAAGGTGACCTCACTGGGCCTTCTTTGGGAATCCTGGGAAAGCTGATGATCCCAAACCCCTTGAGGATATGTTCCTATACAGTATAGGGGAGAATTCTTACAGGGTTTAAAGGAGAACTATGAGGGGGGTGCTTTTCACTCACCTCATAGTTCTAGCCGACCTGTGACAATGAGACTGTCACAGGTCGGCTCAGTAGATCGGGAGGTGAGCGAACACATACCGGCGTTCGCTCACCTCTCGATCCTGTCACGGCTCTCTGCCGTGACAGGGGAGGGGCTGGATTCCCCCCTCCTTACTCCGATCCTCCAGCGCTGACTGGCGGAACGGACGGGGGAGGGTACAGCTGGCTGAGCCAGCTGTCGGTCACGCAGCTGGGCGGATCCCGGCACAATTGTCGGGATCCGCTTCAGCTGCGGCGTCTCAGTATACCGCAAGCAGCAGCTCGCGGTATACTGAGCCTTGGGTGACGGGAGGACGCTAGTTTGTGTCCTCCCGTTAACCTAAGGAGAACTATGGGGAAAAGTCTTAACCCCATAATTCTCCTTTTATGCCCCTTAGTTTTCCCAGGATCCCTGGAGAAGGTTTAGTGATATCATCCTGGCCTCAGCAAGCATGCCAGAAGTTTGGTTGTCTGTCAGCATTTACAGAGTTATTTTCTTGCTCCCTTCAGGTGAATTTGGACAACTTTGTCATCCAGCCACCAGTGACTTTTCGCCTGAAGTCTGGCTCAGGACCGGTCCTTCTGTCTGGACAAGTTATCGTTGGTAAGGCAGTGTTTATACACAAGCAACCTATTCCAAGTCTCAAGACCATTGTCTCTCTTAATGCCTGGAGCATCCACTTCCATTGCCTAACCTGCTGGCTTCTGATTGGCCCCTGTCTGTGACTCCAGACACATTTTTTTACTTTTGCTGACCCACCCTTTAAAATAGCGAATATCTGAATTTCAGTTAGGAGAATGTTTCAATTCCATAATACGGTAAGATTTCCCCTCCCCCCAACTCCCCTGAAAATTCCCTAGGGCTGGGTTTAATGATATATATCGGAAGGCAAAACTTTTTGTATTGGATCTGAATAGATCTCAGCAGTCAGCAAAGTTCATGCTCCCTGCATACCAGAGAGCTATAGGGGTGTGTTGGACTTCAGCAGAGAGGCTGCTGCTTATTCACAGATAAGAGCAGCCTTCACTGTAAGGGCTTGTTCACACCAAGCGCTGAGCAGGTGCAGACCGGATCAAAACTGTGTCCAATGTATTCCTATGGTATTTTGAGCTCCAGTCCACATCGCAGCGTGCAGTTCCAGAGCAGATCCAGAGCAGGTGAAAAAACTGCGGCAACCCCTATTTTACCTGCTCTGGAACGCATCAAAAACGCATGCAAGTGCCTGAAAGCCCATGTTAAACTTACATTTTTTTTTTTTTTTACCAAAACGGCCCGGAAATCCTTAAAAACATTCCCTTCAGGTGAATTTGGACAACTTTGTCATCCAGCCACCAGTGACTTTTCGCCTGAAGTCTGGCTCAGGACCGGTCCTTCTGTCTGGACAAGTTATCGTTGGTAAGGCAGTGTTTATACACAAGCAACCTATTCCAAGTCTCAAGACCATTGTCTCTCTTAATGCCTGGAGCATCCACTTCCATTGCCTAACCTGCTGGCTTCTGATTGGCCCCTGTCTGTGACTCCAGACACATTTTTTTACTTTTGCTGACCCACCCTTTAAAATAGCGAATATCTGAATTTCAGTTAGGAGAATGTTTCAATTCCATAATACGGTAAGATTTCCCCTCCCCCCAACTCCCCTGAAAATTCCCTAGGGCTGGGTTTAATGATATATATCGGAAGGCAAAACTTTTTGTATTGGATCTGAATAGATCTCAGCAGTCAGCAAAGTTCATGCTCCCTGCATACCAGAGAGCTATAGGGGTGTGTTGGACTTCAGCAGAGAGGCTGCTGCTTATTCACAGATAAGAGCAGCCTTCACTGTAAGGGCTTGTTCACACCAAGCGCTGAGCAGGTGCAGACCGGATCAAAACTGTGTCCAATGTATTCCTATGGTATTTTGAGCTCCAGTCCACATCGCAGCGTGCAGTTCCAGAGCAGATCCAGAGCAGGTGAAAAAACTGCGGCAACCCCTATTTTACCTGCTCTGGAACGCATCAAAAACGCATGCAAGTGCCTGAAAGCCCATGTTAAACTTACATTTTTTTTTTTTTTTACCAAAAACGGCCCGGAATGCTTCAAAAATGCGGCACAACCCACTGCACTGCGTGTGCAGAAACCTGACCGGATCTGCTCTGCATTTGGTGTGTACAAGGCCTAACTCAGCGCTGGGAAGATGTGCAGATTTCATCCAAAGGGAGCTCCAGTGCCAGGGAAACCAAACCGTCAAGATTGTTTTTGATTTTTGGACACCTCAGATGGGCTTTGATAGATAATTTAGTGGTCAGTTGGTACAATCTGCCAACGAACACTGGTAACTAGGAACTGGTAGCATCTGTCACTGACGAGTAGTAAGGTACGGAGTTAGGCGCCAGTGGCAAATCCTTTGGCACTTTGGGCACCTGGCTGTGGAATTAGGAGCAATGCCCTAAAAAGTTTGATTTGCCAACATTGATGAGTCGCAGTCAATGGCACCAACTGCACAGCTGCCTAAGATGTTAAAAAAAAAAAAATGAGTCCTCAATTATTACAACTAGGGATGTACCAGTTTTTCGGTATACTCCCCAATACCGGAAGCCCGGTGGCGTGTAATGACTCGCCACCCGGCTTCCTGATTAGCAGGGAAGCGGTCTCCATGCTTCCCGTCACTAGGTGACGAGAAAGCATGGAGCCGGCATTCTGGCCGATAAGGAAGCCGGGCGCCGTGTAATGACATTAGACGGCGCCTGGCTTCCTCATTGGCCGGGAAGCCGGCTCCCTCGTGACGAGGGAGCATGAAACCTGCTTCCCGGCCAAACAAAGTTGGGCGCCGCGTCATTACACGCCGCCCAGCTTCCTAATTGGCCAGCTACCTGACCAATCAACAAGCCGGGCAGCGTCTAATGACTCGCTGCCCAGCTTCTTTTACAATTATCCTCTGCTAATATGAATGGGTTAAATGATCCGTAGTACATGATATGTAGCCCTGTACCCCCTTTTCCACTTACAGAGCTAGGTTATTTTTCTTTTAAATAAATAATGTAATTTTATTGGTATCTATCTACCATTAGCTGCCTCATTTCCCACCCTCGGCTTATATTAGAGTCAATACTTTTTCCCAGTTTTTTGTTGTAAAATTAGGTACCTCGGCTTATATTCGGGGCGGCTTATACTCGAGTATATACGGTAATGGTGGAAGCACCTGAATTTGTACATTTTTGTTGAGTGGCGAAGAGCTCTTAAAGAAAAGGTAATGTAGGGTTCTATTACCTTCTAGGACCTTCTTGGTGTCCAGGACCACTGTAGGCAGGTCTCCTGGCACAGATATAGCAGCTTTTTCAGCTGAGCTACTCTTGTTACTGGCCCAAGCTGTCTACTTACCCCTCTCTGGAAGCCCCACTACAGAAGAATGGTACACAAACAATGTTCCCCCCACCTTGTAGTGTTCTCCATAGGAATATATGGATAGATCACATTTGAGTGAGACAGTATAGATCAGGGGTAGCCAAACTCGGGCCGTCCAGCTGTGGTGGAACTAAAAATCCCATGAGGCATTGCAAGATTCTCACAGCCACGACTCCTGGAGAGATGCATCATGGGATTTGTAGTTTCACCACAGCTGGAGGGCCAGAGTTTGGCTACCCCTGGTATAGATGAAATGCTGAGGTGAGAGCTTGCCCAAGGTAGGGGATGTCTCCTCTGTTATTGTCCCAGATGGCTGTGAAGCTTTTTGGGGGCTCTCATCCTACTCGCCACTACATTGAGAGCAGGAATCCATTTAGATGTCTTTTTAACTTTTGTATGCCTGCTTCATTTACAGTACCACCGTACATGGATTCTGAGGAAGAGGAGGAGGAAGATGATGAAGATGACTCGGATGATGAGGAAGAGAAGGAGGATTTAGTTCCCATCAAACCAGCCAACAAGAAACTGAGGAAATGATTACCTGTTGTCTTTGTAGTCTGACCTATATTGGGATCGATTGACTAAAGGAGTAGAGCGTGTTCACTTTAAAAGGGAATTTTCACTTGGCAAAGTGAAGTTTTTGCTGATTTCAGTCAACCAATCCAAGCGCAAACAAAAATCCTGTTTTTAATTTTTGTGGCGTGTGGTTGAGTATTTATTGTGAATTTTCACCCCTTTCTCTTTGCAAGGTGAACACGCTGTACTCTAGGGTTGGACCAATCCCACAAACCAGGTACCAGATGCTCCCTAAAAGTTCCAGCTGGCGCTCAACTTTTGAGGATTTCTCTAGTTGGTGTCAATAGAGCTGGTTCCTAAAATAAATCCGTCTGGCTCCTGGATTGGACAAACTGGCTCCAGGATTCCATATTAATGTGTCCACCCCTTGCTCTACTCCTTTAGTAAACCAACCCCACAGGCTTTGAGAATTTGTGTAATATACGTATATCCAAGAATTGTCCATGGACAGATGTAAAGAGTCTTTTTGACAGTTATGCATGGACACTGGTGGGTGGCTTCTTGTATCTCTCTGGAACTCCGGCAGCCAAACCCCAGGAGTTCCTGACTCTGATAACGCCTTACCTTGGAATCCAGCTCTAAGAGCAAGTTCTCTTATAAAGACCATGGCAGGTGGGCGGAGTCGGGAACTCAGGAACAGGGGTTTCGGCTCCATCTTTTGAGAGATATATAAGGCTGTTGCGTGATTCGGCGCATCTGGGTCCTTCCATGACTGAATTACCAGCTGTTAATGGCTTTTAACACTATACCGAGTTAGATCTGTAGGTATCCGAGTGCCTTTTTTGCATTGCCAAATGTATTTTTGTACTTGAACTTTGAACAGGTTTGTTTTTTTACTGTTTACATGCGTAGAATGTTTTACGTCATATTGTAGTGGTGAGTTAGTGTGTTGGTTAGTTGGCCTTTGTGCAGTTATAAATTGTGATTGTTGCTGTCATCTGTTCTCAAAGTACACAGGAAGGGCTCTCCTATGCCTCGGCTGTGATGGCCAAGAACCTGAACCGGTTCCGGACGCTGCAGAAGTTGAAGCTCAGGCTGTGCGAGTTGCTATGTAGACCCTTGGTTCTCAACTGGTGGGTCGTAACCCAAAAGTGGGTCGCGACCCCATGTCCAGTGGGTCGCCACATGCCTTCCACTTTTCAAGAATGAGAGGATCCTCGGCCTCTCCCTAGAGAAGCAATGTCCGTTCTCGCATTGAGCAGCCATTCAAAAATATGATACCCGGTGCCGAGTGTCGACGTGGGGTGTGGCTATGGCCGCGAGGGAGCTCCATCCATATGTGCATTGCTTACAGCTCATCACATTCTGGCTCCCGGCACCTCTACGGGCGTGCAAGGGAGCTTTACAAGCAATACACATATGGATGGAGCTCCATCACAGAGCAGTAGCGCAACAGGGAACATTGCAGTGCGACTTGGGTCGCGACTTAATGACCGAGGACAAATGTGGGTCCCGAGGCACAGGTTGAGAACCACTGATCTGGACAGAAGAATTCTGTTTGGCTGCTGTGGACTCACTGACCCGGTCCTTTGGTTTTTATATATCGGCCTCACAGTTGAAGAGCATCTGTCACTTTGCTCATTCAGGACAGTGTGACTTGTTCTACTGATAGGGGGCCCTGGTTTGCCGAACTCCCGTCTGCCCCCGTTATCTGCAGGGTCCCTGTGTAAGCTTCATGTTCCATGGTATCGGAACTTACACAGGGTTAGTGACCTTCTTCCCTTGCAGTGCAGGTCTACCCCATGCACTGCAAGGGTTAGCTGCTCTTTTTTGTCTAGGTGCTAAAAAAGAAAGTTATACTCGCTCGATGCTCTGACTTGTGCTCATACCGGTCCTCCCAGCCTCTCTCCCCCTCCGCTGCAGCGGGCTAAGGTCCCATAAAGCATCACATTGTATACACTGTATGTAGACCTGAGGAATATTCCAATGCTGCAGTATAGGAGAAGACTGGTTTCAGAGACCGGAGAAGCAGGGAGCCTGCTCAGCAGTTCAGGTGAGAACTTTTTTTTAGCACCTAGACAAAAGTGAGCACTTCAAGGGTTAATAAAAGTTTTGCCTGGAGTTCTTGATGGACCTTTTGGAGAAAATGGCAATCCAATCACACAAGCTGGGAATGAGCTCGCGCTCTACTGTTGTCATCGTTGCAAGATAAAGGAAATGTGAGATGGTTTGTGTCGCAGTTGCATATGTTTTGATAAAACGATTTTAGTGATTTTTACATTCAGTGTCATTGCTGCTTTGATCTTTCTCTGGAAATAAAGTCTTTTTGTAAAGAATAGTTGTTTTATTGGAATATTTTGGCAGGGAGAACTCGAGCCTGCGATCTTGAGGGGTAATTTAACTTTTCAGAATATACAAATATATTTTTCATCGAAGATACTTTTATGTGTAATTGCCAAACGTGCTCTGTACAATAAAGGGCTATTGATTTCCAAATGTGTGCTGGTTTATTTTATTCCTAGGTGAAGATTTTGCTATGTTATGGGGAACACCTAGAATGTTAAAGTTCTTGTAGAAAATGTTCTGTGCCTGAAAGAAATACGATGAAGGCAACCAGCACATCTGAGAACGGGTAATCTTGGGTTTGGATACACTTTGAATGCAAAAAAAAGAATCGTGTAAAGGAGAACAGCTCGCAGTATACTGAGACCGCCGCAGCCGCGACGGATCCTGACATTACTGTCGAGATCCACCCAGCTGCGTGATTGACAGCTGGCTCTGCCTATCTAGAGGCAGAGCCAGCTGTACCCGTCCCCTCCCCTGTTCGTTCTTCAACTCAGCGCTGGGGTATTAGGGAGGGGGGGAGCCATGAGTGACAGTCACGGCTCTCTGCAGGGACAGGATCAAGAAGTGAGCGAGTGGCGGTATGTGTTCAAACTTTCCGATCTATTGAGCCAACGTGTGACAGATTCATTGTCACACGTCGGCTCGAACTATGAGGAGGAGTGAAAATCACTTACCTCATAGTTCTCCTTTTAACCCTTTTGCTGCCTGATCACTTTCACATGCTCTTAAAAGAAAACTATAGGGTAACCCTTTGATCCCATAGTTCTCTTTAGGGTCACAGGAGGACACATACTAACCTCCTCCCGTGCTCCAAAGCTCACTATATAGTGGGCTATTGCCCGCTATATACTAAGAGTGCTGCAGTCGGGACATATAGCGACAATGGTGTCGAGATCCACCCAGCTGGCCGATTGACAGTGGGCTCTGCCTATCTAGAGGCAGAGCCAGCTGTGCCCGACCCATCTGTCAGCATCGGAGGATCAGAGGGGGGAGGGGGTAGAATACCTGTGGGGAGTGGTGACTGATGGTCATGCTGCATGTCATACTATTTTTAAGCACACAACACCGGAATGCTGTGCAGTGAACTGCCACCATCCATGACTAAGGAAAATTTCCTTGTTATGTGTTCGGGCTGCACTGGGGAAAAAAAGTCAGTGCGGCCCCAACACAGATGTGTGAACAAGCCCTTAAGCTGCTTCTATTAAAGTCCATGGGCACAAAAACACTCGAGTCTGCCTGAAAAGAAGCTGATGTACTTTTGGGGTTCTGCTACAAAACGATAACACTCCGGTATGAACAGGGGCCATAGAAAACAATGGCATTCCTTTGTGTTAAGCGTTTTGTAGCGTTGAGCTACAAACCACCTAGGTCTGAATGGGGCCCATATAGTTCATTCTTGTCATACATTTTCAGTAGCCTGGATCTCTACTGTGGAATTTTGATATTATTTTGTACCTTGACATTTGTTATAAGGCAAACAGGACTACAGTGATCTTAGTAAGCAGGGCCGGATTTCCCACAAAGCCAACCAAGGCCTGGCTTCGGGGCAGCCGGAATTCCTATCTCCCGATGCCCGTGACATGCAGTTCCGGGCGCTGGGCCGGTAGTTGTTTTCTACATTTAGCCCGGCTTTGGGCAAGCACAGCTAAATGTACAGCGGGGGAGCCGACGCTTGTTTTGTACAAGTGATTTCGCTAAGATCATTTGTATGCAGCCTACAGGTCTGCCATTTTCAATGGGGGGGGGCGCGGCAGGTAGGGGGGTGCATTGAGGAACCTAGCCTTGGGTCACCAGAGAGTGTAAATCTGGCACTGGCTGCGACCCATTTTTGTATCACGACCCACCAGTTGAGAACCATGGATCTAAACCTACAGTCCTGTGAGGAACCTGGCCTTGGGACAGCAAAGAGTAAATCCGGCCCTGTTAGTAGGCACAAAGAGTAGGGAAAGCCAGACTTGTGCTATAGATAAAATATCACTTTTTGGTAGACTGTCCCATTTAATCCCACACCAATAGCTTTTGGCTAACAGAAAAGTGTAATTATAATTGGATAGGTGTAGTGATACGTCTGAGAAATCCCTATGGAGGCTGTTTCATTAATAATCATTTTAATTTCTCAGGTGAAAAGTGCTCCGTTGGGTTTATTTACCTGCACAGATTTCTAATGAGGGTTAGTCCTAAGGGGCGTGAAGGAAACAAATTTAATTCAACAAAGTAAATGAAAGCTGAAATCCGGGCAGATATAAAACACCAATTAATGCAGTTATGTATTTATTAAAAATAAATCATTAAATGTATTTAATTGCAGCTGATGGTAGTACCCTAAGGCATCTTCATCCTGAGCTTCTGTACAGTAGAATTTGGGACTGCAGGAGGGAGGGGTAACGGCTCTGCACCAAAGAAGGCTCTGCTTCGTGCTGATGAGGAACATGCTAAAAGGAGAATAGGAAATGACCTCATCAGTTCACTGTCCAATCACAGGTTGGAAGGGAGGTGCCTGTATTGCAAATGAAAAAAAGAGCGGTCATTAACCTGCATGTGCTCTCTGGCAGGACTATATATACTGCATGCGACCACAAGGTTTGGACAGTGTACCGGCGTCATGGAGATACTGCAAACTGGTTAAAGAATTCCAGGAAATAGAAAGACTTACCCTAGCAGTGACTACTCTTGCAACGCAGTGGCATCACAAGGGGGGGGGGGTGTGGCCTGCACCATGTGTCACCAAAATGA